ACACACACACACACACACACACACACACACACACACACACACACACACACACACACACACAACACAACACAACAACACACACACACACACACACACACACACACACACACACACACACACACACACACACACACACACACACACAGACAACACACGCACGCACGCACGCACACACACGCACACACACAACACACACACGTTGCATGCATGCCTTTACGGCCCGGATTCAACGTATTCTGAAGTAGGCTTACGATGCACTGGAACGAAAATATAAACTATATTATTTTTCATAATTATGTACTGATAGTATATACAATTTTGTAAACAATGTTTTATTAGTTATCATAGGCATACTCATAATATATATTTTAGATACTTTAGTCAAAACATCAGCTTTAGCTACATTCCTCTTTGAAATTTACAAATTGACCTTTTAAAATGATCAGAATTGATTGCTTTCAACATAGCCTGAAAATGCAGGAAATGCCATTTCCAGGCTCTAAATTTCAAAATTTTTGTGGGGGAGTAGGCGCCTACCCCCAGACCTCACGCATCGGCTTCACGATCGCGGCGTTAGCCATGCGTGCCTGCGGCACACACCATAACCACCACTCTGGGTATTATCACTGGGTGATCCTACATTTTTCTGCAGTAGCACATTTTGGGAGGCCACTACGGCCCAAACTGCATGCAGCGCTCCCCTTCGCACACTCAGGATACAGCACAGATCCCTCCTTTTAGGCCCCCCTTTGCAGAAGCCGGCCGGCACAGAAGAAGACCCCCTTCGCTACACTCAGGCTCGTAGATTGAGCCAATGAGCGAGAGCGCCATCTGTCGTGGACTTTGACTACGGCCCTGCACATAACACAACCACTGATCTCTATAATATAATCGATTATATTATAGAGATCAGTGAACACAACACATACTGTTACTGCATACATAATTATTATGCTTAGTTATCAATACGGTACGCTCCGATACATTTCCATAGTTTCTTAGACCGGGCGCTAGATGGCGTTAGTATTTTTTTTATTGAGACGTTCTACCAGAGGTTCTACTCCGTTGCCTAAAAGATAAAAGATAAAAAAGGTTGTGTTATGTTGTTATAAGTTTGTTAATAAGTTATTAACGACGTTATTATAAGTTAAAGAGTTATTAATAAGTATAGTGGGATTCGTAAATAAGTTAATACTACTAGTACTACTACTAGTACTACTAGTGCAGAGGCGGTCGTTGTCGTATCAGGTACTACAGATATGTTTAGTATTAATTATTAACTATTAGTATTAGTATTAATTATTATGTTTATATTTTTATATGACTATGAGTATGAGGTATGTTTAGAGTTAGGGTTAGGGTTAAGGTTAGGGTTAGTGTTAACAGGGTTACAGGGTACAGGGTGTTAGGGTTAGGGTACACTTCTGTAGTACAAGTCTGGTACACTTTGTGTATACATATATGTATGAAAACTATGAACCATGGGAAACACTCCCGACCCTTAGTACACGCTAAATCCGCTTGGAACGCTCCGAGAGTGCCATGGTTTGCGTCAACTTTGAGTCGGACAGTGTGCGGTGGCCTCCCGATCGATCAGGAGTGGGTCGTATAGTGTGCAGGGGCTTAGTGCTGTGCACAGTGCAAAATCGGATAGTGTGCTGCTAGCATAACGATACTCCCGCTTCCCGGTATTGCTTGAGCTTGTCCTCAGCTCTTGTGACCTGCTGCCACCTAGTGTCAGAATCAAACAATAATCGCTCAACTTAACTATAAATATTACAGATTCTATATCTACGATACTACAGGTACATATATCTGTAGTACCTGATATGACAACGACCCCTTGAGCACTATATACTAGTGTCAATAGTGTCGCCTATGAATATAAGTTATAACCGTCGAAAATACCAAAGGTAAATGAAAGACTGAGACTGAAAGACTGAAAGTGCACGTATAAATTAACAAAACAAACACAATCACAATGGTTATAAAATTAACAAACAAAGAAAGGATAGAGAAAGATATATTATTAGGCAACCAAGTAATAAAAAAATGCACCAAATATTCATATCTAGAGGATTTCATTAATGATAAAGGAGGTTTTAAGGACATGATAAGAGCCCGAACTGAAAAATGCATGTTCATGATGAGGGAAATATTATCGGGGACAGAAGAGCAAAATTATGGAAATCATACCTATACTATAGAATAATAGAAGCAAGAGTGAAATTATATGAATGCACAGTTTTACATTCCTTCCTAAATAATAGTGAAACATGTACTAACTTAACGAAGGAAGAAGTTAAAATGTTGGAGGATTTCCAAAATGAGTGCCTGCGCAAAATAATAAAAGCTTATAGTAAAACACTAGCTCCAAGAAACGGTATTGCTAGGGTTAGAATACCGTCATATATGTATATTGACCTGTATACCTGCATACCTGTATATTAACGTCAGTCACACAGCCTGGTCGGGTTAAGTAAAACACCACTGGAAGCACTAGTAAGGCTCATAGGGTCTATATATATGTCCCCCAGGGTACTGCCGGAACGTACCGTCGTCACTATTTGATATGGTTAGGATTAGGGTTAGAGTTAGGGTTAGGGAGTAGGCGTAGGCGTCTGCCTAGACTCGTTAGTGGAGTAGGCGAGGTACGGTCCGGCATATTAGATAGTACCATGGTACGTTCCGGCAGTACCCCGGGGGACATAGACCCTCTCAGCACTAGTAAGGATAACCCGACCAGGCTGTGTGACTAACGTCAATATACGGTATTCTAACCCTAGCAATACCGTTTCTTGGAGCTATAGTAAGGGTAGAGTTAGGAATTTACCATGCTCATTATCTTATTAGACTGATTTCTAAATATTGATATTGTGTCCAATATTATTCTCCATTTTTCCCCAATGTTCCTATTGTGTCCGATTATTAGTAGTACTAGCTGGAACCCGCGCTAAGCGCGGGCTTAGTGACTGTGATGCATGTGGTACCGACTGTTCAATACCCAGAGAGATAAGAGAATAGATTGACCTTGACATTGACATTTAACTTCATTATAAGAAGTCTACGCAAAGATACACAGCTCAGGACAATGATCACGCCGCTTGCTGCCCCCTTCCTGACGCAAGGATACACAGCGCGGAGCCAGCTCGGCTCAGTCAGGGAAGCTCACTGCTCGCGCACGCACGCACGTGTAAGTTCGCACGCACGCATGCACGCACATGTACGTCCGCACGCACGCACGCACGCACGCACGCACGCAGCACGCACGTGTACGTGCACTACATAAACAGCGCTTTCTATCAGAACATGTGGTCATTCATCTGTAAATGTCAAGCAGCACGCTTTGCTTCTGCCAACCACAACACATAACAAATACACGTTACCTGATCTATGACGTCACGTGAAACATCGCTATTAGGCTTGCGCTATGGTGTGTGCATATGTTTGCTAGTGAATTAGACCCGCTAAAATTCGAGACTGTTCGCTGGCAGCAATTGATCCGTGCGCCGGCCTTTCGATTTGGCGCACGGATCAGAAGCTGCCAGCGCGTGATACTTTCGTAGGACGTTCCCGCGGTCGCGTGCACCTTGCCACGGAACTGCGCGCAAGATTCGCGCTTAGCGGGCAGGATCAACACCTCTCAGGCGACGCTTCTCTGGTATCCGGTCTCTCATCTGGGTCTTGTGCGTAGGCATGCAGACTCGGCGACGCATGCACTGTATACACATCAGGGGGTAGATTCATCAAGCTGCGAACGCAAAATATTTTGCGTAAATCTTGTGTACGCAATCGACGTTGCTTAGTTGCGATTCACCAACACAGCCATTTAGTAAATTTTCGTACGATTTCGTGTACGCAAGCGAGGCCGTTTTAGGTGCGATTCATCAAGCTAAAATTTACGTAAACCTTTGCGTAACTTTACACGAGCTGAAGAGGTGCCGTAAACCACTCGAAATTTCCGCAGATGTTTTCAGCATACCGCAGCATGCATTATTTTATTGAGAAAACATTATAAAATTACTACTCAACTAAAAATAAATAAATAATTACCATACTACGCAGACAGGCGGCGCCTTTGACGCTTCTTTTGTCATAGCTTGGCATTGTTTTCGTTATAAGCGAGTTCGTAGTTAGCCGTGTACGTGCACACGCACGCACGTGTACGTGCACACGCACGCACTTGTACGTGCACACGCACGAACGTGTACGTGCACACGCACGCACGCACACGTGCACAAGCACGCACCCACGTGTACGTACGCACGCGCGCCCGTGTACGTACACACGCACGCACGCACGTGTACGTTCACACGCACGCACGCACGCACGTGTACGTGCACACACACGCACGCACGCACGTGTACGTGCACACACACGCACGCACACGTGCACATGCACACACGTACGCACGCACGTGTACGTGCACACGCACGCACGCACGTGTACGTACACACGCACGCACGATCATTATTGGGCTTACATGCAGCACAACGTTGACAGACGGCGAAATATTACAGCACAACGTTGACAGACGGCGAAATATTACAGCACAACGTTGACAGACGGCGAAATATTACAGCACAACGTTCACAGACGGCGAAATATTAGCAAGGCAAAGATATAGCGCCCCCTATTTTCAGGCAAATCTTTACCTTTTTTTGGTTGTCTTTTTTAAGCCTTTTTTACCGTTTTCAACCGAGTATAGTTTAGAACCCATCCCGTGTATTCATCGATCTCTTCTGTGAATTTGGCGCTATTTTGATCAAAACTGGCGGAGCCTTTCATTAACATACATACATACATACAACATTCGCCAAATTATAGTAAGATGAATTAGTAGGACGATTTTACCCAGCGCAGCGGGTACCCGCAGCTAGTAACTGATAAAATAGAATACAAAAAACTCATGCTACGGTACTACAATACATAGTTAAGCTAGATAACAATAGTAGGAGAGTACAACCCTAGATAAGAGAGTATTTATACAGCAGATCAAAGAGGAAGGAAGAAATTGGGGAAATGAAATTTTAATAATTCTAGAGTGGTACGAACTGGAAATATCATTTACAGCCATAGGATTAAAACCAAAAAGAACCTGAAAAAAACAAGTCAAAGATGCCATCTTAAAAAGAGTAATTAAAAGAGACAAATTGAAAACTAGAGATAAAACAAAAATGAACATGATAAACATTGAAACATACGGATTGAAAGATTATATGAAAGAATTATCATTTGCTGATTCGTGTTTTGCATTTAAATGTAAAACTTGCAGGATTGATCTCAAAGGCTACTTTAAAAATAACTTTAGTGACGACATGTGTAATAGATGTAATAAGAATATGAAAGAAGACATGGAACATTTATATAAATGTGATATAGCTATAATAAATATAAGGATCGAGGGACAACAAATAGAAAGCTGGAGAGGGGACAACCACGGGTTATTGAAACCAGCGTTAGATTATGTGCGGAAAATTCTGGTGATTCGAAACACTAACATTTAGAGAATTAGAGGCGTCATTAATCTCTTTTTTCTCTAGACGATTGGCAGCCCGGATATCCGCGCGAAGCGCGAAAAACGTTGCGTTGTGGCAGACTTACACAACTTCGCTGCACTCTTTCCAACACCTTGCCCAGGTCCCTTTGGGTATACACCAAAGTCGTATAATCGCTCAATTCAGCAGTTGTGGCGATTCCACAAGCCTTTTGACTACGCACGTAGCTAGACATTTCCTACAAATGGTCGTAATTGTTGGTTTGCTGCTCGGCGCGCTTCGTTTTCCTGTAGAAAAGCGAGTTAGCATTTTTGCTGTTTCATGCTCTGACATTTTTCTGGAACATGTGGCGTGCGATAGATGGCACAACGAGGCTATGTTCATGGCATTTCCACCTAGTTTTTCTGCACGGATTTGGCGGCTAAGCTAGACTGGTACCCGCTCAACAGTTCCACACGCTACACTAACTGAGTTCATTGTAGCCAAGGATACTTGGTGGAGTGAAGGTGGGTACCAGTCTAGCTGTAACCCCTGCAATCGGGACTTGCGCTTAAACTTGCTGTATCCATCTTGGGAGACCAATGTGATGTTCTCATGTTATCCGATTAATACTTCTATTACTACAAGTACATGTTACAATAAGTACTAGTAAGTACTACTACTAGTTACTACCAGGAGCTAATAATGACAAACTGTGTTACTAGTAAGTTACTAATAATTACGACTCCTGTTACTACTAGTAGTACTACTACTAGTACTACTAGACTACTAGTACTACTACTACTATAGTTACTACTATAGTACTAGAGCTACTACTACTAGTACTAATACTATATAGTATAGTACTACTACTACTACTACTAGCTCCAAGAAACGCTCTTTGCTAGGGTTAGAATACCCCTATACTAGACAAAGGCATTAAAGCATTTTAATAAAATATAATGCTAACTAAATACAAAATCTATTTACTACCAAATTCTTCATGTTTCTATAGGCCTACTCTCTTTCACCTATTATTGCCGACAGTTTCCTGTAAATTCCGTCGAAATCCTACGTCCAACATACGCTGCCGGCTGCCATTGCTGTCATGGCGCGACTGTTGCATGCTTACACTAATATATATAGCAGGTAGGAAAGCGTGCTGCAAAAATTCGCTCGACGCTCGCTTGATTTGACACTCACAGTACGAATACACATCCAACAGCTTCCATCTTTGTTTCTCCTTCAACAACAGTGTTCACTTGTTATAAAAACAATGTCTCTGTTCGTAACCGAGCTGTACGTGTCACGCGAAATCACAGAAAGACTGACGAAATTCTCGCGTTCGCGAACCTTGCCCAATAATGGAAATGGCTGTCAGAATCAGGAAACGCCTACCGGCACTCTTCGTGACCTCATTGTTGCGCTGCAACGCTGCAACGTTTTTGCAACGTTCTAATGGCGAGGCTCGTACGGGAGTTGGAAAGCAGTGCGCCGCCTGCGCGCCGCCTATAGCGCATAGACTGCCACTCGCTCCCACTTCTCGGCTTAGCTTAGTCACTCGATGGGTAATCGAGGTGGGAGCGAGTCGCAGTATATATAGCCTTTGTCCTTGCAGCCATTTCCATTACTGGGTAAGGTTCGTGAACGCGAGAATTTCGTCAGTCTTTCTGTGATTTCACGTGACACAGCTCGGTTACGAACAGAGACATTATGTTTTTATAACAAATGAACACTGTTCACGTCTCAAATGTCTGCCCTCTGTGTCCCCCACTAAAATTGCGGACTGTTTGCTGGCAGCTATGGATCCGTACGCCGGCCTATGCATTCGGCGCACGGATCCATAGCTGTCACCGCTGCATACTGTCGTAGGACGTTCCCGCGGTCGCGTGCGCCTTGCCGCGGAACTGCGCGCAAGATCTGCGCTCTGCGCTTCGGATCAACACCTCCTTTCGGCAACGCTTCTCTAGTATCCCGTCTCATCTGGATAATCCCCGCACCTCGTTGAATCGAGTGCCTTGTGAAATACAAGAGAGGGTGCCAAGATACAAGATACAAGATACTCCTAGTCATGTTTCCGACTAGTTTACTGTGTGTTCTACAATACACTATAGTGCTCAATCGTTTATTATAGACACAAACACGTGACAAAGGAAATAGTTAGGAAATATCAACGTCAGGGCAGGGACCAAAATATATCGTAATTACTATTTAGGGTTAGCCAGTTCTGATCTAGACCGCAATCATTACTGATTAGCTAAGGCGATGATATATGGTAACTGTTGTGGCAGGGTGCGAAATTAACAGTCCGGAGTCAAATACTCCCTGATTTACTGTTGGACTCCCTGATTTGACATATATGCAGGAGTCCGTGTGACTCCCTGAAAATTCTGATACTAACTAGTTCGTTCCAGAGCATGGCCTCGCGGAATTACCGTAATTTTAGCTCACCTTGACATCGTCAAGCTGAGCTATGGCCATGGGTCGTCGTCCGCCGTCCGTCCGTCCGTCCGTCCGTCCGTCAACATTTGGCTACGGTCAACAATAACTCAGTTACTCTTGTTACTGCTATGCTCCCAAATTAAACGTCCTATTTTGGAGCATGCCAGTCGACGTACTTTCGAGCCACGGCAATTTTTTGGCAAAAATGGGAATTGTCATTAGTTGGTTCAGGTTCCACGGATTTTGCTCATTTTTGATATGTGAATGAATAAGGGATAGGGGTTTTGATATTTAAAAAAAAATTATGCAAATTAGGTAGGGTTTGGCAATTATATAGCATATTATATAGACACGCAGATAACAAACAGTCTGTGGTGTCACACTCGTCTGGTTCGTTTTACAAGATTTCATTGACAATATCTTTAATGCAAAATTCCTGCTATGAACATATTATGATTTATACTATTATTATTATATTATTATTATTATCATATAATGATTTATGCTAAGAAACATCAAAGCGGGTATAGTGCCATCTACCTTCACAAATTGTGATTTATTTTGGTTTATAAATTATTTATAATTTATATATTATACAATATTATTTATTATTTTTACATAAAAAATTACACATATAATTATCAAGAGTATATAATGGGAGTTCTCCCATATATAATATATTCTTCGTTTCTATAATGTACGTCGATGGTTGCTCAATTAAAACGGACTTCGTCTCACTCACTCATTTGTGTCCTTTTTTGTGGTGAGCTACAGTGTCATTGACACTTTCATTTCAGCTAATGTCCAAAGAAAATTTGGCAGACATGCAACCGCATGAATCTTAAAAATAAGCACATGCGTTATTGTTAATATTTTAAATTTTGAACCTCAGACTGCGGACTCCCTCATTTTGCTGCGGACTCCCTCATTTTGCTGCGGACTCCCTCTTTTTGAGGTTAGGGAGTCTGTTGGTTCGTTGGTTCGTCGGTAGTTAATTTCTACCCCTGTTGTAGTATTGAGGATGATTGTGAAAATGAGGGCCGTGAAGGAAATTGAGACCTCGGGCGGGCAGTGTATATAACTATAATTGATTTTACTACTTACAGGAATGATATATGCTGCATCATCTACTCTGTGATAATGAAGTGCTGCCACCAGGTAGTTGCCCAGGTAGCTTGCCTTGTTTTAGGCTGTGTCATGTTAACGGCTACAGCCACGAAAGAAAATCCAGATGAAGTGACTCGATTACCCGGTCTTCCATATAAGCTGAATTTCAGACATTATTCTGGATATTTAAAAGCGTCTGGAACAAAGAGATTACACTATTGGTAAGGCAGCATTCATGTTATTGGTAGTGTATTCGGATATATAAATATGTGCCCGAACCGCCAGTATTCAAGCCTGAAATTGGGAGGACCACACTATATGGGTCACATAATCATGTAGTAGTAGCTGCAGCACAATACACATCCAGCTAGTGACTAACCGTTTTCCGTGACTTCTGAAGTACATTCGTCCATCACCCAATCAAAATGCTAGAACTAGTATCTTCTATAAACATAACAGCTTACAGGAAGTGCATTCAACAGAGAAATATATCCATCTTCTGCATGCTCTGTTGTTTAATTGGTGAAGCCAAATGCAAAAGCGTTTACATCATGTGCTGCTAATGTAATTACGAAGTCTATCGTCAACTGTATTGCTGCTATAATAGCTCCTTCACCTGTCTGGGTGTGTAGTGTTCTTGGAATTCGCTGCACAGGTTTGTCGAGTCGCAGGACAATCCTCAGCACGACCCCCTGCTGCTGTGGATGAACGGTGGCCCTGGCTGCAGCTCACTCGACGGCTTTCTGTCTGAGCTAGGTCCGTTCTACGTCAGAGACAATGGCCGTGACCTCTATCTGAACACGTACAGTTGGAACACGGCAAGTCCGCCGCGCTGTCGCAGCTGCGTCCTAACAGGATGAACTCGGTCGAACGCTCGGTGAATCCGCCGAGAGAAAGTCGTGTCGAAAACTTGAGGTTTATGTTTCAAAGCGCGAGTTCCATTGTACTCTCTTGCAAGCTAGCGTACGCTGCCGAATTTGAATGCATCTTCCTGAAGTTTTATTACCATTCTAACCATTTGCCTTGTAGATTGCCAATGTCCTGTTTTTGGAAGCACCAGCAGGAGTAGGCTTCTCATATTCTGAGGATGGAAGATACGGCACTGACGATGACACTGTATGTAACAACAATATTAATGTCGCGATGAAGAATCACTTTAAATTAGTATGCCTATCGCAGGGCTCCACACTAACTTTATTTTCAGTGGCAAAATCATTGATTTTCAAGTTTTGGTGGCCCGAAAATGAAATCTGGTGGCTCGGAAAAAAACATGAAGGGCGATGAAGAATCATTATGGGGGGTGATGAAGGGGGATGATGGGGGGGGGGGTGATGTATCGCGCGTAAGCTTACCTTTAAATCGCTCTTTCACAAGGCATGAAATTTAAAAAAAACTTTCGAACTTTCGAATGCTGGCAGTTTCGCTTCGGATCCGAAACGGTGCACGCGCACATGGATATATATGCATTATTTTTAGGGATGGGAATGACAATTTGTGTTTTCAGCTGAAAATAGCCGGGGTCCAGCGGGGGGGGGGGGTCAGGTCCAGGGCAAAGCCTGGTCAGGGGGTTCAGGAAGTTTTTGAATTTTCACAACCTACAAGGCATAAAATTGCATTAGGAGACACATACAGAACAGAATTGTTACAGAGCATATTACAGTACACTGCAGGGAGTATATCTTGCACTGTCATTATCATAACACTAGAATTATTAATAATCAATACAAAAATTTACTTACATTCTGCAAACAAAATTATTTTAATGTACACTTCCACACTGTCCCAAAGGCTAACCTTTATATAATATAAGATTTTCATTGTCCAGGCAGTTTCAAATTTGTTTCTGGTCACTACAGTAGATATTTTATCATATTGAACAACTTTAGCGGCTTGTCCTGCTGCCGAGGCAATTTAAGTCTGTGAGCCCCATGCACAGTGATCAGACATCAGGAAAGGAAATGCTTTATTTGCTACGCCAAAGGTTGCCCAAAAATCCTCCCTTGCACGCCTGATATAATATTCCTAACACCCTAGGAGGTAGGGCGCGATCGTGCGACATTAATTTTTTTATCGTTTTCAAAGGTCACCGAAAAAGGCAGCTCGCGACACCACCTTTTATGGTTATGTATATATATATTATAAACAGAACTTCGTTGGCGAGAAGGGAAACAGTTCGTACCTACGTTTCCTACTACGTGAAACAGTCGCAGAGCCTGGGCCGGCTACTTCATAAAACGAGCCTCAAGGCCACGTGTGACGCGGCGGCTTTTGATGTACACGATCGATCAATCGCGTACTATATTCGGCCTGCGTAGCACGCGCGGCATACATTTGATCAGGCTCGCTCTGCGAATTGCTTGCTCTCTTTTGAATGAGATTAGCACGTAAGAAACAATTATTTTTATCACATAGACACTTTGAAATTTTAGTGGCCTGATCGGGCCACCAAATTTTAACTTTTTGAAATTTTGGTGGCCCAACATCAAGTTTTGGTGGCCCCGGGCCACCGGGCCACCGCTAGTGTCGAGCCTTGCCTATCGTTATCATCACTTATATTTTGTTTGTTTTATTGTATGGAGAACATGCATGGATTTCACTAATTACAATGCATATATGTACGTAGGGGTGCGTATGTGTTATTTTTTATATGTGTGCATAAGAGATTCATGCACTCACACAAATGCATGCATGCACGCATAAATGCCATGTACATGCATACATACATTCATGCCTACATAATACATGCCTACTATGCTCCAAACAGGTCTCTATGGATAATTATCTTGCCCTACAAGATTTCTTCAGCAAGTATCCACAATTTCTCGCCAATGATTTCTACGTAACGGGCGAGAGTTATGGCGGTATCTACGTACCAACGCTATCTCTGCGAGTTCTCAATGGCACCACACCCATCCGGTTAAAGGTATTCTCCTTCCCTGCATTGTCATTTACTCACTGTGTGGCTGGATTTACGCTGTAGGCTTGTAGAAGCTAGACTGTACATCTGAAGGTTGGAAGGTTGTTCAACTTTTCAGTGTTGTATGGCTCTTTTATAAATACTTCGTTGGGATTAATTGTTTCATCTGGCCCCGAACCCACACCCCCCTGCTGTATTTTGATTTAAAATTGATTGTTTAAAAGTTGAACAATCCCCTGAGTAAAAGTTGTGAGAAAAGAATCTACTCAAACGTTGTACCCTCGTCTCTCATGTGCAACTAGTTAATCGCTCAACTTTTATGTTTACACTATTCACTTTTTATTGAAAAGTCGATGAGCTTGTACAACGTATCAACTTTTCAACTAAAATTGGATAGTGTAAACCCAGCAGTGCTGACATTGTCTTATGAGTGTTGGATTCGGTTTGACAGGCAGTGGGAGTTTAGCATATGTTCTGTTTGTGCAACCTATCTGTATTACCTGTGTTATGCTCTCACAGCAATTTTCTTTCTGTTTCTTGCAGGGGTTTGCTGTAGGAAATGGTTTGACCAGCTACGCTGAACTACAGAATTCAATCGTGTTCTTTGCCTATTACCATGGCCTTTTTGGAGAAACGTACGTTTTGTTACATTTCTCTGAGTTTTTTATTAAAAACTAATGAACTGCTGTAGCCACAGTGGCATCGAAATTGGACCCTCATGAAAATCTGACTTTACGGATGTCGCCCATGTTGTGAATGGTGACAGTGTGTGTAAGGTAGAGTGCAGAACAGTGCACATGGGTGATTGAAAGCTTTCTGAGATCGTCATTATGTTATTGACATCTAGACTATCTGTGGCGAAACTATTCTGGCTTGTCTAACTTCTTCCTCTCCTCTTCCTCTCTTATATCTTAATTCTATACACTATACGCGTTTACGGTAGTCATCGTTACATTGCTTGAGTGGACTCATTCTGGCCATCGGTCGTGTCTACCAAGGCAGAAGTGGAAAGTGTAGAGCCAGTTGGCTGTGAAGAGGCATGATTCCATTGCACACTTTCTGTGAAAACGAGTGTGACAGAAAAGCATGTGCTTTAGCAAAATTATATTTAATGTTGCCCTGAAACCATCTGAAATTTAGGCCATAGTAAGCCTATGGGTTGTAGAAACCCCCCTCTTAACATGTGTTGCTCAATAGTGCATGATTAATGAACAGAGTTGGTGACATGTACGAGTGACATTTTGATTCATGTCCTTGGTTCTAGATTGTGGCATGACTTGCTGGCGAATTGTTGCAAGGGTCCTGGTGCAAATGAATGTGATTTTCAATCAAGTAATCCAGATTGTACCAACAATGTAAGTATAGCTGAAGGGGTCGTTGTCGTATCAGGTACTACAGATATGTACCCGAGGTACATATATGTATACACAAAGTGTACCAGACTTGTACTACAGAAGTGTACCCTAACCCTAACTCTAACCCTAACCCTACCCTAACCCTAGCCCTAACCCTAACCCTAACCCTAACCCTAACCCTAACCCTAACCCTAACCCTAACCCTAACCCTAGCCCTAACCCTAACCCTAACCCTAACCCTAAACATACCTCATATCAAAATATAAACATAATACTAAACAACCTAAAACTACCTCGGGTACATATATGTAGTACCTGATACGGCAACGACCCCATCTGCGTAAGTATATGGTACAGCTTCCTTAATGTAGAACCTTTTAGTTTATGTTCAAAATTATATATATATATTCTATATTAGTGTTCCCCTGGCCAAAAAGGTCTGTGAGGTGTTAAATTTGTGTGTGTGTGTGTTTACACGTTTTGAGGTCGTAGCCCAGCTAGGGGGGTCCTGGGGGCATGGCAACCGGAAATTTTTTGAAAAAATGGTGCATTCTAAACTATTTTGGTGCATTATAAGCACTGTTCTATGGAAGTACAGTGATTTTCGTCAGCGAGACGCTGTTTTGGACAAATTTCTGTTTGGCGGCCCGCCTCGCTCGTGTCAATGCAGGGGAAACACTGCGTTATAAAGTATAGTAGCTATGTATGCGGAGACCTCTATAGAATGGATGTCTGTCCTTAAAAATTCAATTGATATTTCCTGTGAGTGGCAGTTATACAGTGAAACCACTTCTATAGGTCGACACCTGTCTATAAAGAAAACTTTGGGGTTTCCCATGGGTAATGCTTATGCACAGCTTTGACTGCATGTATGATCCATCATTTGCTCGTATTTCTATGTTACACGTGTTATGCGATGGTGAAATTGGCAATATAGCTGTTCTACAGCATGCTGTTTATGCCGTGGTCATGCGTACAATAATATCAGAAGTGGATTATACAAATAAATTGTTGTCATACTCTTGCTAGTAAATGTATATTTATCTTGGTGGGCTTTAGAAATTACACACAATTTGACATCGTGTCTGGTGCAAAGCATAATAGATTTAATACGAATACGACAATTAGCAAAACTGGAATTTACTTCTGCTACTTAATATTGTGTGTTGGATCAGGATACCTGTGATTGTACTGTGTCGGCACTGCCGCATATGCTTGCAGGTAGGTATGGTGGAGGTGATAGTGACCATGATCGGCCTCAATGTCTACTCGCTGTACCAAGATTGTGCGACCGGTGCGTCCGCTCAGTCTCTGCGCTACCAGTTCGACATGCAGCATGTGTTTCCAGCTCTCAGGAACAAATCACAGGTATTTTTTACAGACTTATGAATATTGTATGTGCTAAATCCACGATAATTATTCAGTAGGAATTAACTTGGTAGTTAAAACAGGTCCCCAGTGGCTAAATAAATGTTAAGGCATCAACTTTATGACATGTTTAATAACTGCGAATTGAGGTCAATCTGTCTCTGCATGTAAATGGAGTAAATTCGTCACGATTGACTCAAGAGGCTCAGAGGCTCGTGTTTCCCCACTTAGGCTGATAATGAGGCAATACGGATCATCAAGAACATGTCTGATGATGGGCTGAGCATGAACCCTCCCTGCATCGATGCTTCTGCTGTCACAACGTGGCTGAACAGGTCGGACGTACGCGAGGCATTACACATTCCAGCGTCGGTGCAGCCGTGGGAACTTTGCAGGTAGTGGTGATTCTCTTCTCATAGTGAAACGTCTGCTGATTATACTAGCAAGGAGCTGTTATGCTTTAGGGAACTGAAATGATATCGGTCATTGGTAGTATGATTCAAATTTGATGTGTTTTATAAAGATTGCAACATCTTGGCGTTTTGTGGTGCTGACGTCTTTGGTGGGAAGTGTGTAGAATATGATATTAAATTAAAATTAATTTAATATAAACGAAATTTTTATACAATTGTTTGTTTGAATCAAATTAATCAATTAATATGAAGTACATACAGCTTGTACGATTATTATATTCTAGAGAATGATTACGCCTTATTGGAAAAAGTAGTTTTCATTGCAAATGCCCAACTAAGCAAGAACTGCCAGAATTTCTCAGAACATAGATCTTTTTCTGGGAAGAGCACCAGACTCTTACTTGCACAGACTTGCATCCTGGCAGAGTATTGTCATAGTGTGTGCTATTCGGCATGCTAGGGGTCTCAGTGAGGATAAGAAATCTGCTAAGCTGTGTAGTGAGGTTTAGGACGGTGTACCGAGTCACTATCCAGCAATATCCGTGCAACTATGTCACTCTCCACTCTCTGTCTCCATCAGAACCCTTCCACCTTTTCTGCTGGATAATTCCAGTCGGGGCGGCGTTTCCGGTGTGTGACGGAGCTCTGGTAAATAAGCCGCTGTCGCTAAATATATAGCGGAATATAGTTGGTCTCTTGGTCCTCTAATACATGTTCTTTATTAGCTGAGCTGACAAAGTCAGATGCAGCTTGTAGAATCGCATGATTGTGCATGCGTCAGTGCGTCCGTCAACAGTTGCGCACAAATCTTAACCGCTTGACGTACCGTCTTGATATTCAGGACATCGGGGGGGGGGGGATTGCGAAAAGGACTCGGGATGTTGAATTTTGGGGTCAAGGGTCAAAGGTCGAGATGTGTCAATGGAGGGGGAATATTTCCCTCTTAACTTAAAGGGACAGTAGCCACTAGGATTTTACTGCATACAACTGTACTAACTGTATAACAAATCGTCTATACCCACACGTATTTGTTACTATATACCTAATTTAATTAATTAATACACATCAACGCTACGAAATTTGAACGGCGCCATGACACCCGCGACCGTGCTGCCACCCCAAAAAAGTTGCGTATTTGACAATTTATTTTGCACGTTACAGACCGAGGGCTAATCACAAAAGTGCAATTATATTTATACCTAAATGATATTTAACCGAACGATATTCATTTTAGGGCAAATTTATCCATATTGTAACTGAAACTATATGTCGTTTATAAGATATCACAATCCTTTTGCTTTTAAATGAATAAATAAGAAACACCCTCGGTCTGTAGCCCTTGGCTGGAAAGTGGTTTTGCGCAACTTATCAGATCGTGCGCTTTGAGTGGCGCCACTGTCGTTGTAATCAAACTGTAGTCGTTAGTTTTTAAACATTTTTTAAAAATATTTCTAATGGTGATTGAACCATGAAACTTTTTATGTAGCGTAATTTTAACCTAAATTAACTGCAAATAACCCTAGAACCTAGAGTAAACTCCCTTTAAGGTATAGGAGGAAATACGGAATTGCGGCACAAATCTCAACGGCTCGACCTACGCTCTTAATATTCGATGTATAGTGTGATGGGGAGAAAACCCATCACCAGTGCGAAATTGGAGGTCAAAGGGCAGTGGGGGAAAGGTCAGATATCAGACATTTTCTGAGGACATGGTCTAACGGACCGAGTGCAAAACTTTTTTGTTCCAGCGCTGACCTACCATTTCTATCACTTTATTGAAAGGACCATGAAATGTACTTTCCGCTGACGTGCGGAGAGTAAGTGTCTGATAACCTTTTGACTCTCAAGAGGAGGGTTAAACATGGATTTATTGATTGTTAACAAAGGAATGAACTGCTTTTGCTATTGTGGATGTGAGGCTACAGTTGCACAGTTCAATTGCAAAGGCAAATGTTTGTTGAACAAGGTTTACGCTCCTTAAATCATATTATTTTCTAAAGCAGTCTGTATTAGCACCCTGAGTAGCACCCTGTATTAGCACACTGTAATAGCACCCTGAATGCTCGCGTGGGTAGGCAAAAACACGGGGCAGCCCATTAGCCATGCATGAATGCGTGAACTGGCACTATTCGAATCATAATTATTGCCTGGCAACCTGCAATGCAGATGTGTTAACTCACAGCTGAGCGAAATTCTTGCCTGCCCGAATATACTTGGATTTTAGCCTGTAGGATTTCAGCAACTCAATGGATTGAGGTTATCACGCACGAAGGGCGATGCCATCTTTGATTATTGATGACACTTGCACGTGCCATCTCGCGGCAACTGCTTTTGCAATTAGAGCCCCTTCCACCCGCCCCTCCACCTACCTTCCCCTCACCACCACCACTACGCTCGTGCTCGACGCATATCTATGATAACATGTTAATATAGCGAAGTCATTAAAGTTACACAGCTGTATCTTTATTACTGTACTACCGGTATAGTCTCTCCGATCTGTATTAGTAGTATCCTAGATATATGCTCTGAGCGCGAACGCAGTGGCGGGAGGGCGCACTTGATTCGGTTGCCAGTGAGTTTATCAGAAGAATACCCGGCTGCAATACACGTCAGTTTAGCGCTGTTGCTCTGCGGCACTTGTTTTTTTGCAGTCAGGAAGTCGGCTCTCAGTACAAGACGCTGTACAAGTCGATGATGAAGCAGTACCAGCAGCTGTTGCCCCATGTACGAGCTCTGGTGTACAACGGTGATACTGACATGGCGTGCAACTTCCTTGGTGACGAGTGGTTTGTGGAGTCGCTGAAACGCAAGGTGAGGATCGCCGAGTGTTCTCGCAACGCCGTTGCAATTCCGTTTTGTTTGTTTCGTGTACGTAGAGCTGACGTACGTAAAATTTACGAGTATTAATGATAATGTTTTGTAGTAATTGCCGCCTTTTCGAAGAGTTTGTACTTTTGATGTTTTACCTGCTTTTAAATAGTAGTTTTTATTGTATCCTTATAAATGTGCTTAGACACCCCTAGTATTGGTGATCACCTAACAGTGTGGCAATTATAGGCATCCTAAACCAATAAATGGTAGAATGCATAGCAGACAGATAGACAGAAAGACTTTGTTCATTTAGTAGAATAGATATACAGTTTAATTGTTGTTTGCACCAGGAATGTCAATCACCGGTGTTAAAAATTTTTGTAGGTCACCTCTGCAAGACAGCCGTGGAAATTCAACCACCAGGTTGCAGGTTTCGTGAAACAGTTTGAGAATATCGACTTTGTCACTATCAAGGTATGACTACTGCATTACCTTTAGTACCTCATCACAGACCGTGATATTATGGCAGATTTCGACTTCAGCATTGTTGCAGTTTATTTAGAGCTTAGATGAACCTTCTAATGTTCTCTTTAAAGCTCTTCTGTAGAAATATATATCACTATTCTATTGTTGACCATGTTTCGTTCGTGTAAAAATAGCTTCGTTCGTGTAAAATAGTTCGTGTAAATAGCGTCTAGGAGAGATGAGAAAATTAAGAATATTGCTGGCATACTACTTCAAATGTGATGCATACGTATTTTTTATCGGAAGTTTACATGAGGAAAGAATAGCAAATATTTATATCTCGTCATCGTTTGTAATAATACTAATATACATAATAACGTGTTTAGTTTTGAAGTTAATTTTTTAAATATTGTCATTAATCCAGGGGGCTGGTCACATGGTGCCACAGTTCAAACCAGGTCAAGCACTCAAGATGATCAAAAGTTGGCTGAATCAGGAACCATACTAAGGAAGTCTTATTGTTTCAGAAAGCACCACATTCAAATGTATGTTATTCATTTAGTGAGCTTCCATTGATTATAAGGAAGCTAATTTAGCTGTACTAATTTGGAGGCTATTTTATGGGTGGAAGCTCATTGTATAATAAAAATTTAAAATTTTTAGAATAGCTAATATAATAGTGCTAATGGTCTTATAGGTAAAAGTCTTATACCAAAAATCTAAAGCTTGACAAGAGCATGGGTTTGTAAAATTTTAAAATTCCTGGTATTATTTGTGCACCTATGCATACACATGTGTATAATATAGGTATATATATATATATATCAGAAGTAGATAATAGGGAAGGAGTGTGACTTCAATAAACAAGGGAAATTCGTCATTTACTAGCCTTAGAATACCTACGATTTACTACGCGTAACTCAACCAACTTGAGCTCAAATCGTACACAGTACATTCGCCTAGCATCGTGCGAAATCGTTTCCTCGTATACATCCGCAATCCGGAGATACAGACTAAAACGTATGACACGATTATCCATTCTGTTGCCAGCAAACCGAATGTATAAACCGCCTAACTTGAAACAAAAGGCAGCTACTAGCGAGCCACACCGCATCGCCGAGGGAGCAAGAGTGCGCAAGTACATAAATCGTACTTTTCCACGACATGGTTTTCACCTTAGTTACCGTAATCTGGCGAGGCCACACTCTAAATTTGCACGCACAGCTCTTCAATGAGCCACGGCAGGGATCGCGTCAGGCAGCGCCAGCGGCAACTGTACGCGGGCTAGAGATAACGGTTGCTATGCAATTAATGCAAAACATGTGCGAAAAGCTACAATCGGCTGGAGCGTCAGTTTACTCATAACAATTCATACACATCATTCCTCCGCGGGTGAAGTAGTTCAGATATTTTACCAGCGCAGCGTTTATTAAAAAAAAAACTGCGGGATTAAACCATAAAAACAAGGCATTCTAACTATAGTTTAAATGTAAAATAGTTTCAATTTTTAAACCCAGCATGGGTTTAAAGGTAACTTAATTTCTAGGCGAATTTTCTGCACTCGACTAGGCTACGGCCGAAAAGCCCTACCGTGGCTTATTGAAGAGCTGTGTGTGCAAATTTAGAGTGTGGCCTCGCCAGATTACGGTAACTAAGGTGAAAACCATGTCGTGGAAAAGTACGAATTATGTCAAAACGAAGGAAGCTACGCGGTTTGTAATACTACCGGAAGATAGAATAAGGACCAGTGAACAAAAGAAGCTCATGTTTGTATACATTTGTATTTTTATTCACATCGAACTCGTACGACAAAAATGTAGTGAAATCAGTACCAAATCGCTGTCTTACTCCTTTGTCATTATACGCTCCTGATATATATATATATATATATGGTTTGAATTAGCACTAATCTGTAACCACTTTTTATCACCAGAATAACAGATTAACACGTACCTCATTTAACAATGGATCTGACTGGATTAGTATTAAATATAAAATGAAATTTGACGATATTTTATAACCAGTTTGTTGATGTTAAATGAATAGTGTGAGGGCAGTTGGATGTACGGTGTCGGTGTGTAATTTTTTTTTATTTTAGTTAATTGTGATGTCACCTATTTCTTTCAAAATCGATGTGTGATGTGATGAACTAATGAATATTGAGCACGATTATTGTTAATGATTTATTAGTTCTAAACCGTATGCATACTGTGATAAATTAACAGAGACATTGTGTCATTGTCTATCCATTTATTTAGCATTTCCTCTAATATTTACATGAATGAGGAAAGTTAAACTCGTTTTGATGATATTAGGAAAACACTCCATTTGAGGTCTTTTATTAGTTTAGGAGAACATACTACAATATGAGCAGCTTGGATTTGTCACATTTGTCTGAGTCAACAAACAAGGAAAAACGGTCATGACATACATCAGCGTGTGTTTAACAATTACACAAAGTAAAGTACTGATGCAATAAGTTCCTGCATCTTCTGCCAAATTATTACCAACACAAATGTGTCCTACCCCGGTGTAATCTGTTTATTTCGTAATTAAAAAAACTGTTGCCGGACTGGGAACTTAATTTTGTATTTTTACCGCACAGCGTTAAAACATTGCACAATTTGAAAGCAAGCAAAGTTACGGTTACTAGTTTGAAATGACTACGTCACGAATTTTGTATGGTGTATATTTGTAAAATGTTTGTTGCAATTTTTTTACATGAAAAGTAAGTACCAACGGGACTAAATGTATCCTCAAATTCTTACCTGATAAGATTGTTTCTCACCTAGTTAAACATCCAAAAAACCTGGGCGATTTGATGTATTGATCACGACATTACTTGCCATGGGCTATATATCATACATTATGCATATGCAAAGATTCCTCAAGAAGGAAGCATCTGAAAAGAGCTGCCGAGAAATCTTGAGGCTGTACCTGAAGTCACAGGACCTTCAACTACCAAATCGTGATATAGAAATTGGGGAAACTACAAGAGGTGTTCTCTCAAAACTACCGAGTGATCAACAGAAGGGGCCACTGATGGACATGAGGACCTTTCTACAAACTGCAACTTAGTACTTAGTGAATCATCTACCCATTGGTGATAAGCTTCTCAGAGATTTAGCTATCTTGCACCCTAGCTGCAGTACGAGAAGCTGAAGATGGCAGTCGATGTGTACGTAGAATGACCCAAACGTTTTGCCAGATTGTCCAGGCAGAGGAGATTCCGTCCATTGTTGATGAGTGGTGAATTTATCAAGACCCATATATACCAGAGGAATGGTACCGCGTGAAGGATGATCATGGTGATGTTCAATGGTGTCGAATTGACCATTACTGGTCAAAGGTACTCAGTATGAAGAAAGTTTCCAAATCTGGGGAAAGATGTCTCAGCCACAGAAATGCAGATATTGAACGAATTTTATCCATCAACAAAAAGGTCTAAGGCACTGACCGGACCCTGCTTACAGAGAAATTCGTAAATGGGCTAAGGTTGGTGAAGGATGCTGTCACATGGTGGAGGGAAAAGTGAGGCAATGGCTTTCCGAAAGAAACTTGACTAGTGTTCCGCGGGCTCATGGTAAGTATCGTACACGACTAGAGGAGGAAAAGAAACAGGAAACTGCTAGGTTGCAGGAGAGGAGAAATGAGGAGGAAATGGAGCAAGCTAGAAAGGAAGCAGAAGACAAAGCCTTTGAGACTAAGAAGAGAAAACAGAAGGAGAGTGAGAAGTTATTGACAAAGAAGCATGAGGAATTACAGGCTGAGATAAAAACAGCAGAGGATTTATTTAAAGAGGCAAACTCCAGGTTGGCTGAGGCTGTCAAGGAGAAAAATCTACAAAAGATACCTGTGCTTCAAAGTTAGATGTTGTCCGCACGCAGACGTTATACCTCCGCTTTGCTAATCTGAGGGTGCGGGTTTAATGTGCCCATTACTGGGGTCTGCGTCGGCTCGGACTAAGTTGGATGATGAATCATGTACCCTAAATCGCCCTAAAATCGTTTTAAAAATCCCTAAATATGATTTAAAAATGCCCTAAATTCTGCCCTAAAAATGTTCTGAAGTTGGCCAGAAAGCCTGTGTATGAGTCACGAGTGTTTGTTCACATCGAACTGAATAGCAAAATAGGAAGTATAATGCAATTAATGCGGCAATTTAACCATAAAAAGTGAACAGAATCACTTACATTTTCTGAAAAGTGGACATTTTTACTTTTACTATTTACAGTGACGTAATCACTTTAATCACCATTGCGTATCATCTTGTTTAATCGTCATCCTCATTCATCGTCCATATATCGTCATCATCAACAGTGTGGTTTATGTAGCTGAGTACTGTAGCACTGTAAACTCCACTACTCTTCTTCCTTGAGAATAGCGTCTGCATAACTTTTCACGGCCAACCAGATTTCCTCTCCCGACTTGAGGATCTCGCGCGAGGGAAGGAAGAAGCCGTATCGACCCATGTCTCGTAGTTCCATCGTGTAGGCGTATTTCACGCCAAGTACGCCTTTCACCCAGTCTGTGGACGTCCCTGTTGCAGCATCTGTGAAATGCGAACAAACCGCTGCACTTTCTGTTGTGCCGGTATTTTATACACTCAATCCAATAACTAATGATTAATAAATAATTAACTAGTTTAATGCAGCATATTCTATTTCTATAATTAAATATATATCTAAATCGCGCTTCCTGTATCTTATGACGGGTAAACCTATATATATTATCTGATATTATGTTATAAACTATAGTATACACACACGCGCGCACACACACATGTATATATATATATATATATATATATATGTGTGTGTATAGATATATAATTGATCAATAATGAGTGAGTAGCGTATAATTATATCCTCCACGAGTGGGAACGATTTCCTGCATGAAGTTGGATGGAGCAAGGTCATAAACCTAAGATTTTTAACAAGAATTCGGATAAAACTTTTGTGACTACAGATCATTGTAAACAATCCGTATGAATACGAGAAGGCGAAAGCGATGAATATAGAATAGAATATATTGGATAAAAGAGTGCAGTTCGACAGCAAAACTGGTCTACACGAATAGCAAACAAAGTAGGAGATTTGTATACAAACACGGTGGCAGAAGCTGGCAAGCGATCTAAAAAAAAACTAGAGCACTCGGAGAGCACAGACCTCCGCCAAGGGAGCTGAATTCTCTCAATGTGCAATTTTTAATTAATTAATTAATTAATTAATTAAGTGGAAAAATTAATTAATTAATTAATTAATTAAATAATTAATTGGATCCGCATTAGTGCGAGCGTGCAGGTGGGGGAGGACTGTGGTTGCCCCTTAGCCTGTGGTTGCGTGTTTGTAAGTCTACAGCCAGCGCACCTAGCGGAAGTGAACTGAAACGTTCATGTTAACAAACCCACAAACCACAAACACACAAACCAACACTCAAACACACGCCGGTGAAAACATAACCTCCGCCAAGCCCCTGGCGGAGGTAAAAAAGATGCTAACGATCTCTCTAAACGGGGAAAACTTACATAGCATATCACTGCTGACTCCCACTTCAAAATAGTTGTTGTAGGGTGTATCAGACAGTGTTACCATCGCATCCGATGCCCTTTCAGCGACACTTTTCTGAAAGAATCCAAAGGATACTTAGTAAATACATGTTTAAAGGAAATATTTATCACTCAACCATACGAGAGGAGCATATAGCTCGTAATTATAGTGCAATCAACTGCACCATGCATAGCATAGATGATGGTTAGATGATATGTTTTCGAACGATTCTCCGCTTTCTACATATGTTTTCTCCCTTCCATCTTCCCTGCTACCTACAGCTTCTCCTCCTCGTCTACCTTCGCCTATTCATCTGCCTTCTCACTCTTATCTAACTTTTCTCCCTCATCTATCCTACCCCCTCTACCTACTCTCATCTACCTTCTCTTCTCATTTACTTTCTCCTTCTCATCTACTTGCTTCCTTTCATCTACCCTCCCCCTTATCTACCCACTCCCCTCATCTACCTGCTCCCTCTCATTTACCTTCTCTACATCTACCTGCTTCGTTTCATCTACCCTCTCCCCCTCATCTACCTTATCCTCTTCATCTGCCTGCTCCATCGCCTATCCCTCATCTATCCTACCCCTCCTCTACCTACTCCTCTCATCTACCTTCTCTTCTCATTTACCTTCTCTTCATATACCTGTTTCCTTTTATCTACCCTCTCCCCCTTATCTACCTTCTTCCCCTCATCTACCTTCTCTTCTTCATCTGCCTGCCCCATCGTCTACCTTCCATTTTCTGTAGCGCCTTTGCCTACTACACATTCTCTCACTGCAGCATTTGTGTTTACTATAGTCTGAGCACTTGTATCTGGGTTACCTCCGTGCAAGCATGGCGTAATTGCATGGTTTCATCGTACTTCAAATAATTCTAGTTAATCAATGTTATTGTCAGTATTTCGCTCGACTGAAGATGCGCGTGTGGAGGCTTTAGCGTTGCTGCTGGGTTACATTGAGAGTTGGGTGAGTTCTAACCTATCAGAGAGCGATTTGCCGCAACCTAACCCAAGAGCTAACCAATCTATCAAGTCGTTCCTTTTGTTGAAAGTAATACATATAACGAATTCTTGTCATTAATAATAATGAATACCGAAACGAGTTAGGTAATGGATGATTCTGTAGCATGCAGGTTTGCATGGTTTGGCAGTAGACCCTTTGTCAGAAAAAAAATCTTCTATAATATTCTAATAGTCTTAACAATAGACTTATCGCGGACTTTTTCTCATAGACCGTTGACAGAAACATGGTAAAGTTACGAGTTTCTCATACGGATCGAGGGTAGGTCTGATCTACGAGAAAGTTAAGAGCAATTAGATTTCTAACAAAGGACCCCAGGAGATAGCGTTGCGGGATCGCGGGAGGTCACGAATAAACAGGGTTGTGTATGTAAATAAGTAATTCGGTACGAGGTTTGGTCAACACACGACGATCATCAATGCACAGGTGACAAGGATACAAGTATGCAAGTTTGTGGACAGTTGTAAACACAAAAGAAACCCCATGTCATATAGGATCATAGGACCCTCTAGTACGGGGACAGAATGGCAGAGTGGACAGAATGCCCAGAGGAACGTGGACTCGGCCATGGCTAGTTAATTGAGAGGTACTGAGGACTATGAATGGACCGACAGTTAAGGCTCAAGAGCCCTCAGAGCAGCGATGTCTCATAGCAAAGCAATCACTAGTTATTCCTCTCCTCTGTTTATGTATCCGCCCTATTCCCGTCTTGAGCATCGGACGTGCTTCGTGCGTTGTTATTCTTCAACCGCTGGAGTCATGTCATCTCTATAGTAAACGCCGCCCACCCCGCGCGAAATCTCCAAGGCCGTGAAATCAACGTCGAAATCACATTCCGCCGTGTGACCGATTGGCTCACTGTATACGCATCCATCCTTGCACACTCCACAATCAGTAATAGGATGCATTAGCTTATGCGTCGGCACTCTTGGCACACATATTCCCTCGCGTTTTTTGTATACTCTTAGATAGCTGCGCGTAACCCACTTTCTCCTCGCATCCACGCGCGATTAATAGGTCACTGCAGACATCTGAGCCTGCGATCTCTTCGTTTGCACACTCGCTGCCTAATTAGTTAATCACTGCACACGCCACCATCGTGCACGCTATCCTAGCATCACTGCGAAATCGCGTATACAATTAGGGTGATCACGTTTGCTACTATGGATACGCGATCACATAATGTCTCCGTGATCACACACGTACAATCATGATTATGGTTTACTGTCGATATCCGATCCTGCGCTCTCACCACGTTACCATATGTTTACTATATCATAGACACACTCTCTCCCCATCTCATCATCGCCTAGTTTATGGCTATATAATTATGTGCTTATTATTTGGGTGTTTCTGAGATTAGGGGGCAAATTGCTGTCCTGACCACCCTTGGTCAGAATTCTTCATTGACTTGCCATGTTTTGGATCAATTTTATTGTTTGATGAATGTCTTGGATCATGGTAAAAAATTAGCACTAAAATGGATTCTGTCAAACCAGTTCCACAAAACTTAATTTTGTAAACACAAAACTCAATTCTGTCGAACCGGTTCCACAAAACTCAATTTTGTAAACACAAAACTCAATTCTGTCAAACCGGTTCCACAAAACTCAATTTTGTAAACACAAAACTCAATTTTGTAAACACAAAACTCAATTCTGTCGAACCGGTTCCACAAAACTCAATTTTGTAAACACAAAACTCAATTCTGTGGAACCGGTTCCACAAAACTCAATTTTGTAAACACAAAACTCAATTCTGTCGAACCGGTTCGACAGAATTGAGTTTTGTGTTTACAAAATTGAGTTTTGTCACACTACACACAATGCGATTGCGTGCGCGTCTGCCTGAGAGTGTGGTGGCGTACGCGCCACACGCCCACAC